CACTAGGCGTCATCGGCTAGTGATACCCAACCCCACTGTGGCCGCTGAAATTGCTGCCACACCGAGTTTTGAACTGAGGTTGGATATCACTAACCGATGACGCCTAATGAGGCAGAAAAATGCCTTCCTAGTGTCCCATTTCTTTGCTGGTAATGACCTTATGTCTATATATATATAACTGGCCAAGGCTTTCAAACTAGATAGTACGTACTATGAAATGTGAAGAATAAGACGTAGCCTCCCCGTTCCGTATCCCGATCCCGGTCCAGCTTCCTCTACTCCAGTCGACTGAATAGCTCAAAGGCTTATTACAGGCACTAGTTCGGTCGATCGGTCTGAGCGGGCACTCATTCACTTCATTCAGATGTATTGATTACAATGTCACACGAACTAATCCGATGTACTTTTCACATGAACTTCACTCGGCAGCGGTACATAAGTACTCCGTGCTCCAATTGCATACCCACGCATTGACCTACGTATTTAAGCTAAGTTTTTAGTCTAGTTAGATGCCACCAACGTTACACTTAAATAACAACTGTATACTAAAATATACTAACTAAGGTGAACTAAACTAACTAAACTAAAAAAATAACCAAAACTAAAAATAATATAATATGCTAAATAATAAACTAAAAACAACTAAACTAATACCAGACAGAATTCTGGGGCAAGGGCTATCTAAGGTAGGCGACCAACTTTGCTGTTACCACTATTCCAAGTAATACCATTGATGAGGAGGACGGACACTGAAGCGAAATACACTCTGGGTCCTGTTTTTGCTTTCACAAGTCCTTTTTCATCCAAATTCAAGGTATCTATCCCCACACGCCATTAAACTGGTGCCTACCCAGGAAATAATAATTTTCTCCAAGAAACTGTTGAAAAAATGCTCATTGAAGTAGCAAAAATATCCCCATCAGAGTTACAAGTAGGGGAAAATGAAATGACCTTTATCGTGTAAGCCCCGTAACCTTGAAATCCAACATGCAAAGTTAGTAAACGTTTCCTCCGAAAGCCGATTCTCAAGTTGAGGCGGTATCGACACCTCAATATTAAGATCCTTTTGACCCCAACTATTTTATCCATTTCACAGATATTAGCATGCCAGCAAAATGCATGTAGTGGGAATAATGAAAAAATAAAGAGTCCCCTTACCTTAGAAAACACCGAATTAGTTTAAAGAAAGCATTTTTTGTCAAACGTTTCAGAAGGAAATCGTTTCTTAAATCTAAAATAACTCTGCGATCAAAGAACATTGTTTACTACATGGAGGCATTAAAATTATGACCTACTATA